GGCTCACTCTCCCAGCAAGAAGGCACCTGCTCCCCAGCCCCAGGCCCCCCCACCACAGCCCCCGCAGCCCCTGCAGCCCAAGGCTCAGGCCGGGGCTGGGGCCAAGAGCCGACCCAAGAAGAGAGAAGGCGTCCACCTCCCCACCACCAAGGAGCTGGCCAAGCGGCAGCGCCTGCCGTCAGTGGAGAACCGGCCCAAGATCGCCGCCTTCCTGCCTGCTCGGCAGCTCTGGAAGTGGTTCGGCAAGCCAACCCAGGTAGTCAGGCCCTGGGGTCTGGAGATGCCTTTATCTGCGCCCTGCTGGCCCTTCCCTCCCCCTCCCGTCCTCCCAGCAACCCCACAGCTGAGGGTTGGGGTGAGCGGCAGGGGTGCCCCGTTTTGTAGATGGGTACACTGAGTCTCAGCGCCTGACTACAGAGCCTTCCAGAGCAGCGCTGCCCCCAGTTTCTGGGACCCAGGTCATCCCTCTGTGAACCTAGTCGAGCAAACGTGCAGAGACCACACGGATCCTGTAACCACAGGGTCTCTCAGAGTCTCTTGGCCAGACTCCTGATTTCTCTGCATGATCTAGTTCTCAGCTGCTCGCCAACTCTAGGTGGTGGAGTCTAGGCCAGCTTAGCAACACCGGCAGAGGGCTCGTCTTTCCCTTTATTTGCCAGGAGACATCCTGGGTGGAGTCTCCTGAGCCTGGCTGGATCATGTGCCCACCCCTGAGCTAATCAGTGTGGCTTAAAAGGCAGAACCAGGCCTGGATCAAGTGGCCAGCCCTATAGCAGAGGACAGTTGGTTCTCCAGAAGGAGCCCTCCCAGCCCAGTTTTTGCCTGCCTGCCATCTGCACACACAGGCATACAGCACACACATGTACACATGCATGCACAGGTATACAGGTACATACACGTATGGCTATACATATGCTCACACATACATGCACATACCCTTGCACACATACATGCACACATTTGCAAACACACACACATATGAAGCTTCCGTGTGCAGAAGGGGAACAGCCCCCGTGGTCACCAGCCCATCCTGGGCCCCTGGACAGGAAGAGCTGCTCCGTGTCCATGGTTTCATGTCCATGGCTCCATATCCGTGGCTCTGTGTCTGTGGCTCCATGTCCAAACCTTGTGGCCAACTTGGTTTGCCCATAGCATCTGTCTCCTTGGTCCAGGATCCTCAGGTTACACCTGAGGTGGGCTGGGAGGAGACCCTGCTGGGTCTGTACCTTTCCAAAGTTGGGTCCTGCCGGAGCAGATGGGCAGGTTGAGGGGTTGGGGTTGACATTGATGAGCTGGCAGTCAACCTCTTAGGAGCTTGGGAACTTCTGGCACATTTGCAATGTCTGTTTCCTGGGGCGTATGCACCAGGCTGGAGGAGCTGGGCTGTTCTGAATCAGGATGCCAGCCTGGGGACCTCTGTCTTAGCTGTAGCCTGTTAGCCCCCCCACGCCTCCCCACACACCCGCCACCACCTAGGGGTGGTTAGAACCCCAGAATGGAGAAGACAGCTCCACTGCCCCAGGCCACACCTGCAGAGCTCTTTAGAATGGTGCAAAGGGTGCAAAGCAGAAAGTCGGGGGGTCCCCCACTCCCTTCAGCTCCTGATGTCCTTGTGGCCTCTGGTCCTCGAGGCACTAACGAGTCGGGCAGCTAATGTGCCCATCTGACTCACAGGGCACCGGTAATCTACCTGCAGGCTGGCTCCCGGCTGAAAGAGCCTCCGTTTGCCAGGCCCCCACTTGAGCACAGAGATTCTCATAGCCACTCTCAGACACTCCAGACCAGGCTCCTGAAGCTCTGGGCCCACAGGCACTTTATCCTGGGGACAGTTAAGGAGTGGCAGCTTCTGAGCCATAGACGGACACGCCTTCGCTGTCCTGCTTCACTGAAACTGGCCTGTTCCTTATTTTAGCATCTGCCATTTTCAGGCTCCATTGTTAGTGCCCTGAGTGCTCTCACTGCCACAGAGCACAGGGCCAAGCTTGTTGGCCTCTCTAACAAAGTCAAGGTGTGTGTGGCTTCAGGTACGGCTGGATCCAGGGACTTGAAGGATGTCTTCATCCATGCTCAGGCTTCAGTTTCTTTCCCCTTCCTTTGTCCTGGTCTCTTTCTCCAGTAGCCCCGGCCCTCTTGGGTCAGGCAGCCCCGGTAGCTTTCAGCCCACATTCTACCAGCTTAAAAGTGATGGGAGGAAGGGTCTTTCTCCTAGGGGCTCAAGCTAAAGTTGGTGGAATGTCTTTGGCTTGGGCTCTGATCCCAGCTCTGAGCTCATCACAGTGGCCAGGAGGGGGAGGGGTATTAGGATTGGCCAGACTGAGGCTTGTGCCCACTGCAGGGGTGGGATTGATCCCATAGGGGAGCCTCATGGACCAAGGTGGGCAGGGGAGTTGTGGGAAGGGGCATCATAGCTTCTTGATGCCAAAAACAACTGCTGTCAATCAAAGATGAGTTGGTTTAGCAATCTTAGTGTTAGTCTTGGCCGGAATTGGCTCACACTGTGCCTTGGACTGAAGAGAATTAGTCATTTCTAGAATAAGAAATTAGTGACAAGGACAGTGCCCATCACTGGCAGGGATCCAGGGAATTAAAGGTAGAAAGGCGACCGCTGGACAAGGGAGGAAATTAGCATGTAGGTTTCTCAGATTTAGGCAAAAAATACTCACTTTGAGGTGCCTGGGAGGAATAGGTCTTGCCTGGGGTTTGATATCAGTCTCGCTCTGTGACCTCCTGTGTCGCAAGTTCTGGGTCTCAGTCCTCACGGGTGTACTTTGTGGCCCCTGCCTGTGAGAGCCATGGGGGCTCTGTCAGACTCCTAGCTGGACCCCTCCCCGTCATCACCCGCCTCTGCTCCCTGCACCTCATTGTCTGGAAATTGGGGGTCGGCGCAGGGTGGTGTCACAACTCTGCTGGGTCCACAGTGTGCAGGAGGTTTTCGGCATCTTTGCCAGCACTACTCTGGAACAGAGCCACCAGTCCCACTGGGATTTATTTAAACTGACACTTATAAATAAATCCCTGTTGGAGGGATGAGGGGGTGTCCCCATTAGAGCCAGGGAGGGCAGGGCTTGCTCCCCTTCCCCCCCCCCCGAATCCCCAGGTTT